TCCTAAATGCAGATGGAATTGGTAGAGTATCAGATGCAATGAGAGCACTCGATTATGCTATACAAATGGAGCAACAATATCACAGAACTCATGGACATGTCATAAATGTGATGATACTACTACTACTAACTATAATGCAATAAAGATGGCAATACAGAAAGCAGGCAATGCTCATGGGTAGGTTGGGGGATGGGAAAGGATGATGATGATGTTGATGATGATGTACTCGTCCATTAGACATGTATATGTAGCAAGTGCTGGTAATAAAGGAGTTGATAATGATAATCCACTTGAGACAAGTATACCATGTTCCTTTAAATTGGATAATATCATATGTGTTGGTGCTACTAATGCTGATGGTAAATATACTACTTGGTCTAATTGGGGTAAAACAACAGTTCATCTAGCTGCTCCTGGCAAATCTATATACTCTACTAAACCTGGCTCTAAGTGAGTTATCATCATCATAATAATAATAATGAATGAATAAGATTATTATTAGGTATGGATGGAAAAGTGGTACATCTCAATCAGCACCAATGGTAGCTGGTGTTGTTGCATTAATTAGATCAATTAATTTTTATGCAACACCAGTTGATATTAAGAATGCAATAGTGAACTCAGTGGATACCGATCCAAACCTAGAAATGAAGGTAGTGATGTGAGTAGTAATAGTTATTAACAACAACAACAACTTGGGCTTAATATTATCATCTCTTTAGTGTCTCTCGAGTGGTATATTAAATGCATATAGAGCATTAAATACTGTCATACACAACAACAACAAGAACAAGAAGAAGAACGATCATCTTCACAAATCAAAGACATCATCATCAGTAATTAACATCATCATCTCCACCACCACCATGAACGATGATTATATCTGTGGTGATGCTTTCTGCAATAAGTACGTGGGGTCGGTGATGACAGGTAGCAGACCTAATGATGGTGGTGGATATTGTAACATTCACACACTTCCACATCCCATTTGTGAAGGATCCTTAATCAAATGTAATCCATGTAGTAATGAGACTTATAAACAGTCTATTGCTACCACCACGGGTTTAACACCACCACAAGATGATGATGAGGTATTAGAAACAGTGAGTACTACTACTTCAACATCATCATCATCATCGAGGATATTATTACTCTGATAATGCAATAACGCTTATTTTTATAGCCGTAAACAACAATTATATCAGATTCTCATGTAGCCAACCATTCATCATCATCATTATTATGCTATTATCTTTACTCTAGTCATAATAGTGTTCTTTACTCTAGTAATCTTAATGGACTATCATGCAAATGATAATGATGATGTACGTCATTGAAAGAGTTGTTGTGTTTTAGTAGAGTAGTAGTAGGAGCCGTGTACCCTTATAATGGATACACTACATACACTGCAATGCACCAGTATACTCTTGTATATGGCTACTCATCATCATAATATGTTTCATCATCCTTTTTATCATCAATAGTCTCTTTCTCATACCCATACCACTAACAATACTATCACTATCAGCGACATATCGTCTTAACCACGACCATCACACTCTCTACTACTAATCATACTACACCTGACTCATCATCATTGCTTTCTCGGGGGGGGCCTCGCCAACACAACAGTGACATGCGGTCTCGTTGGCACGCGTCTAGAGTCTATTGCTGTATTAGACAACATTTCCAGGAGAGGCGGAGGCCTATGACCGCCGTCTGGTAACCTCCTATGGCCATATTCACTGTCTTTCGAACCCCTTGGAACATCTGATATCCGCACATCGAGGTACAAGGACAGGACATTTCTCGCGAAAACGTGGGGAAATGCGAGAATTTCAAGTGGGCAAGACTCAAAATTGTTTCGTGGGCTGCTGGACCTTTACCGTTCATCATCATGGGTACCAATACTTGGAATGTGTCTAGTTGTTGTTCTCTTGAGCTTCATGTCGCGGTCATATGAGGATGATAATAAATATTTTACTACTAACAGTGGTGTAGATACCGATTCCTATTATATCAATGATTCTCGGACATTACAAAAGGAGGTACTAATGGTCCAAGAGTATTGATTATGTTTATTATGATGATACAAGCATAGATACGTGATATAAATCACTATATAAGGAGTATAACTAGACGATTAGATATGATGAATAATGATGATGATGATATTGATGGGATAAGGAAGATGATAGATGAGGCTGTTATGTTAACATCATCAGCACAGAGGGATGTTACTCAGTAATAATACTATTACGGACTATTATGGAGGATATATTAATGGTGGTTAACTTCATATGCAGGTTTAAAGAATATGTTTCTAATGCTCCTACACCACAGGATGCTATGAATAGACAACAAATGTTGAATAAGTTTACTAACAATGTATCAAATGTTGCTAAACAATTAGAAGATGTTATAAAGAGATATGCTAATATTAAGAAGAATACTACTGGTAAGAATGACTGGTAAGATAATGACCGCTAGAGGAGATCTAGGATCATTATGGTATAGAGAGTATAATATTCAGGATACAATACGGGAAGGATGAAGTCATCATCATCATC